TCAAGTTCGTCCATTGATCCAAGTCCTAAGAGTATAACTCACGAACTTTACTTCTCTTAAAGCCATAGCTACCTCCTTCCATACCTTCACCCTAACGGTACGTCATTCCAGCTCAGCATAGCCTTTCAATACCTACGAGACCTGGTATTCAACAAATTGAATCTGGAATTGAAGAAAGCCCTGGTCCATGAACGCGACATCGAACATCTAGATTTTGATGAGACAGCATCTAGATTGCAGGACATAGAAAATCGCTTGAGATCCTGCGCTAACGCTAAATTTCGACCAAGTTTTCGCAGTGGAGGGTCGACTCAGTCCATTGAATTCCCTAAAACAGCTGCATAGCCAATATTTGCTCGCGCCGTTGGTGACTCCATGGATCTTTCGGCAACAATGCCTCAGAAAAGAGATAATTTATCTCAGGACGAAAGAGAAAGACGTGGGCATTTAGGAGTATGTTTCTACTGTGGGGAGATAGGCCACAGGTCATTTGAATGCAATAAAAAGTCACAACCAGCAGTTCATGCTCGGTTAATGGAAATGGATAAGATTGAGGACGACAGATTGCTATCGGGAAAAAATTAAGCCCTTTAGAAAGTCGCCTAAAGGGCAAACCATATAGTTTAACACTCTAGTCAGTTGCCATTGGTGGAAAGGTTAGGGACAAAATGAGTCACATTGTAGTCAAATATTCTATTAAAAATAAGACATCAATTAATATCCTATTTTTGGACTGATTGATAGTGGTGCTTCAGCCCACGGCTTCGTAAATGCAGAGTTTGCGCGTATTCAGGATTTGGAGATTTTACCATTTTTTCGTACTAGCTCTTTAAAAGTTTACGATTAAACTGAATCAGTTCATGGGAAGATAACACACATGGATAAAACTACTATTGACATCGGCGGATATGTAGAAAGTATCTTCCTACTTGTCATCACTTTAGCCAATTTTGGCGTTGTCAGTCTTGGTTTCAATTTCATAATCCGCAGATTAATTGGTCTCAGGAGCTTCTTATATTTGATCAGAGAACTTGTGAAAGTCACTCAAAGAAGTTTCCAACTACGGTTTATGCAATCTCGGAATCAATCTTCAAAATTCAGGCACTCCGAGAGGTTGATAATTATAGAATATTATAAATATCAGGACTTTCAAGATTATGCTGAAAGAGAAATTTTAAAGAAAATGAGTGTGTCAATCGAATAGACTCAGTCAGAATGTTTAGATAAAGGAAGTTTTTGTGCGTGTCCCCTCAAGCAATATCTCATCTCTATGTATATACACCAAATTCCGCCAGCTCAGTTTCAATCCTTAGTGCTCAGCCTAGACTACTTTATTTGTGAAAACTTTGATAATCCCGACTCCATATCAGGAACTGATGATATTAATTATCTGTCATCGGAGTTCCTGAAGCTGACTCGGCCTCCGGTAAATTCTATCTCCCTTCCCGGCTTTCCACCAATTCCAATAATTAATTTTAGTGAATAACACCCAATAAATTCACTAAAATAAATAATCATACCGGGCCAACAGGAAAGATACCTGAAAGGATAGTGAAATCCCTCAGAAGTATTCAAAGAAAATGCTTAAAGCTTGTTGCAGGTGCCTACAATTCTACTAGCAGCAGAGTGCTAGAGCAGGAATCGTCTGTCCTCCCTATAGAGATATACCTAAAATAAATGAGGGTCCAGCACGCAGAACTATCAGATAAACTCCCAGTGCAACAGACAATCCTATCGACATGTAAGAGGATAAAGCTGCCCGCAAACGGGAGAGAAACTCCGCATGCATTGACCAAGAGTAAAGATATCGCCGAATGGACAAGAACTTGCGGAAGGGAAAAGGACAAGAGAAGGCAGAAAGAAGCTGGAAAAATAGCGGCGTTTCAGGAGTGGAAAGATTCATGGACAAGCCAGATCAGGAAACAGCGCCCTGGCCGACCAGCATCAGCCGATCCAGAACATTGGAAAGTGTTGTAATTAAGGTATGAGTAGGTATGAGATGTTGAATATTCTAGGGATAGTGCAGAGGGTGGATAAGGATTATCAGAGCTTGACGATATGATGAATAGCTTGGTTATATTATTCTACATGTCACAGTAGTAGATAGGACTTATATACACATATTTGGTACCCGCTATACAGTACATCACCGTCTATGCATGAAGTACTATAATCTTAATTCCATGCAATACTATCCCACATTACTCTATGCCATTGTATAGAGCTGCGCCTCAATAGTCCATCGTAATGATAGCCATGTAGGGCTGTGCAGTACTCGCATAGATGTGTTGTATCCCTGGCACTTGGCAGAGATAAATTTAGAGTAAATGCAATAATCACATCACAACAGAAAGCGGCAAATATATTTACTGATAAACAAACAGGCAGCATCAAAATGAACTTCAAAGATACATCCTTAAGAATCCACCGTAACCTAACCAGAGCCCAAAGCAGTGTCGCCATTCAGCTAAGGAGCGAGTATATCGGACTCAATTCTTACCTGTGCAGAAGAAAAGTACCCAGAGTAGAAAAGCTAAGTTGTCAATGTGGATATCTGTTGGAATTTCGCACCAGTTGCTTACTCTAGAGCTACACAATTGTCGGTGATGATCGGCAAGGCTGCTTAGGAATAACTTGGCGCACAATTGCACTAGACTGAAATTGGTTTTAGCGTCAGACAAAGAACACGAGTAATATGGAGAAACCTAGATGTAGCATTCTTTAATATTCTGACCAAAAAAAGATAATATAATATAATAAGAACGATTTACGTGAATAATTTATTTGATTGAACTACTACGAAGTACTTTGAAGCTGTGCCTATATTCTTTGAGTGAGTTTCCTCTTAGAACCCATACACACTTTACAACAATATCCGTTGCAAAACGTCAAGCATATGGTGTTGGCGTGTCCGCAGTGGGCAAATGAAAGAGGCGACTTTCTCCGACAAGCTAAAGACAGGTCATTTGAAGCAATGATGAACAGCCCAGAATACATGGCCACAATTACACAGTGGATACTAAACAAAGGGTGGATAAAACAGTTTCGACTTGCAGGGGAAGTCGAGGTAGCAATGTCGGATAAAGCAAATAGATCTGGAAGGGGAGAGGATGGAATGCACACGGGCAGAACGGTGTACACTGCACTCCCTGAAGTTAAACCAAATAAATTGATAGGAACATAAAAAGACAGGATCAGGGGGTTTTCACCAAATTGGTTTCCTCCTTTGTAAATAATGCAGATAGTCACCTGCATGGACCCATAGGGTGCCTGATCGGGTTAATTGAAATCAAATTCAAATAATCATAAATTTACTATCATTAAACTCAAGTCAAAGGGAATCCTGGTCAACAATTCACCTTGCCTTAGTTACCATCCCTCTCGAGTCGGCTACTTAAAGAAAACTAAGGCACGGCCACGATAGCGCGGTTCACCAACAATGATGATACCGGTGGTACTGGATCATCGAGACTTTTGTTAATTATCCTAGCTACATAGCTGAATATAATAGATTTAAAAAAAGCTTGATTGTTTTTGTGGTATAAAAATACGGTAGAAAAAGTTATATCAATCTACGCAAAATAAAAATTGACATCATAAATAGAAAATGTAAGGCGTCTACTAAAGCAGTTTTTACTTGGCAACATTATCATAACAAGCAGCGCGTGAATATAACGCCGTTTCCTCATGTCAGTTGGTTTTATGCGAAGAGTGCAGCTGATACTATAAAAACAAGCCAGCGATAGAAACTGCCGTGATCCGCCTCCTGGTGGTGTTCTCTGGTATAGTTTGAGTAGCCTAGGCACCTAATTCACTAGGGGAGATGACGTCTCAAACCACATTTCGCGCGAAGAAAATTCAGTGGATGATGAAGGCATGTCTGAACAACTCAAATTTTTGAGACGTTCCCATGGGTGGGTATTCACGGATGAGGGCTAACTTGGGACGAAGGAAAAGTCGCCACAACTTCGCAGTGGTACTTGCAAATGAAATCCGAGGCATGAGCGCTCTTCTTGTAAATTGAGTCATCTAGTATATACTTCTCTGATATTGAGTCATAGCCAGCTAGCTGCATACGCAATGAAAATCAGATGCAAATAAAAAGATGTTATCCGAGATTAAACTGGCTTCACTTAGGCAAAAACGAAATAAACTCATCAAGAATCTACCCTTGGCCACCCTTTCGGACGAAAGCTATTGGCAACAATTTGTAGTGTTGAACATCATGGGACGTCAGCACCGCAGTGATTTAAATTTACATTGACCCCGCGGGTATAGAGCTCAATAATCAGATATACTAACTCATGCTCAATACCTAGATTAATATTTTAGAGGGTTTTTTGGGATAGCCATATCGAAGCGTCAGTATTAGTTACTTGAGAATTGAGGCAATTTAAATTGCTTTTCATTTATGCCCAACCAAACAAATTTTAGGAAAGATCTGCTTGTCATTGTGTCATCTTGTATTCAACAGGCCAATAAATTATATACAAACTGGTTGCAAAGCTGATTTATTGGGAGGTCCATTCTTTAACGTAATTGGCCAAGCTTGTCAGATGCTTTGTTGATTAGTGCTATTGGGTACCCTCTAAACTTTGTGATTCCCACCGCGAGATTCAGAACGGCTATATATGAAAAGTAATCAATCAGCCTAACCTTCCTGAACTTTGGCCCTGCGTACTCATGCCGATTAAGCTTTGATAATAATTTTATGGCTATGATCAAGATGCAATTTAATTGAGTACCCTATTATTATTCAAAGCCTCCATCAGACCCAAATCCCGACGTGCCAATTATTTTCAGGTTACTTAATCCTGCATTATGGAATTTATGCATATTTTGTATCTCAATTTTACTGATTTATACTCCCAATGCCACTATCTAAATCAGCTGTGAAATGCAAGTGATTTTATTCACACTTTACTATCCAAGTCAACTACAAAATACCCACCCTCTCCTAAATTTTTACTCCGTTGATGCCTCGTAGAAACGGCATATCATCAAGAGCTAGATACTGAGGTAGTTGGCTTTTCCTCTGACTTAGCTGACGTTGGTAGCTGAGCTGGTGTAGAACTATGAGGCTTTTCTACATTATTTCTCCAACTCCACGGGAGCCAACTATTTTTCCTAGAATTCTCGGGCTGAGGCTGTAACTCTTCAATAGTAGATTCTGCCTCGATTTGCTCAAAATCAGCTTCACTACGTGACTTACTTAGTCGTGTGGTAGAGTTTGTTGATACCCTTTTTGATTCGTCTTCGTCATTTGGGATACTGCCTCGCAACGTTTGTGATGCATATTCAGCTTTCGTATATGATTTAGGATGATCTTGAAGGGTCGCAGCCTCCTTCTCCAGTTCAGAAAGAAGGGCTGTCAAACGTTCACGCTGAGCAGAAATAAAGGAAAGACGCTCTGCGCATGACATGTTTGGAGATTCCGAGATTCCGGAATGGGAACGATTACGGCTAGAGTTTTGAAATAATTCTCGTGATGTAGCCGCAGTCACAGCTGATGTAAAAATACCGCGAAAATCGGTAGAAGTTGTAACTGAACTGAAATCAAAATCGGTTGATCTTAGAGGATTTTCTGGCCTTATGCGGAATTTTGCCATGAGATTCTGCGCATAGTTTGCACATCTAGGATCTGATGGTGAAGAAGGAGGGGTAGATTGTTTTTGAGGGGCGCCAAATATATTTCGTTTGATCAATTCGACTGCTTTCTTGCAGTATTCTATTCCCGTGCCCTTTACTCGGTCATGTGTCGATGATATGAATTCGTCTATTGCCAATTCGTTCTTTTGAAGAAAAGGGTGAACATAGGCTAAATAGATAAACTTTGCGCCTTGTGTTTGTGGCAAAATGAGATAGAGAAGGCATGCAAGACGTATCCATGAGTAAAATGGGACCCTAAAATACGGAGGTTGTTAGTAATACTTCAATGATATTTAAAAGGATATATAATATACCAGGCAAGAATGAAAGCAGTCCATGATTCAATAAAAAGCGCACATGCTAGTACTACCCAATACATCAGCCATGGCGTGAGTGTTTCTGGGTCAGAAGTATTGAGAGCTTTGTAAGAAGCGAATACTGGGAAAAGAAAGGAGGGAACTGAACTAATTTGAAGTTAGTTTTTCTTACTTAATTTTGCTGGTATCAAAGTAAAATGTGTGCATGAGATATTGCGGGGTATTCATACGATAGGAGCCTAGCAATTATATCAAACATTTTGTTAATTTATTTTCGTAGATGAAAAGTGGTATAATATTGTAAATTTCAGCAGCTGTATCACAGTACAAATCTGCCAAGTATCTGGTCGATAATGTCCGAAAAGGGACAGAAACTGACAGGAAACGGGTTGAAGTGAGTCCGACGTTGGATTTGTGCGTTGAGCCCACCGATTTATCAAGAGAATGGAGAGGAAGAATATGGACTGGTTAAATGTCACTTGACCTTACAATCTTATAGAATGTAGACTCGTGAGATTTAGTACATAGTTGAGGGGGGATGGGGTTCTCCCAGCCAAGAAGGACGGTGTAGGGGGAGGGGGACCATACAGTCAACTTGTGACTTCTAACCCCCCTAGCCAACTAGAGCTGGAGAATAATCCAGTTCTGATTTGAATGATTATGTTACATTCACAACATGACTTGCAGCTTTTATCGCATTCCTCTAAAATCCGTCCAAATGTATAAACATTTAACACCCTATTTGCCTCTCGGCATATTAGTCACACCCAGGTTTTAGAGGCCGTCATGCTGCCCGACAAGCTCGGAATATGTATATCTTGCACGTGATGTGGTGGCTTAACGTGAATGTGGCTTAGAACATTAATCGACGATACGTCATCAAATCATTTATAAATAGGCCTGGGGAGGAACGCGCTATCGCAGATCAAGATAGTATGTGGAGTATGCCGGCTGCGGGTGGATAACAAGTCATGATTCGATAACATGATCACCCTGTGTGTACGGTTTCGATGTGGCTTACGGTAGACTAGGGAGTAAGAGCACGCCTGTAATAAGTAGCACAGAATGCCTGGTAAATCGTTTAGTCAGATGTAAGTTGTTCTGCTATCCCAAACTAAAACTCTCTATTAATACAAATACGCCAGGGAGAATACATAACATAAATAAGAGTCAATTGCAGATCTCTATCATAGTACGGACCGCCCACTTTGGATCGGACGATCCGGATACACAATCCATTACAGGGGCTTTGAGTCTATGTATTCGGATAAGCCTCCCCATGATGGTACGGGTAGGGCTACTAGTGAAAAACAGCAACCCCACATTACTCTATGAAACACAAACATGCATGACTACCAACCACTTACGTATTCCACTGAGATTTTAAGGAGAACAAAGGCTTAATACTTTTCATGGTGTCTACTACGAAGCCAGTAGTAAAATACTCTCCCAGAGCCGAGATTCAATTACGAACAAGGGTGGGATGAATTGTGCTTAGACGAATTGTACTCGGTTTTCGACTCGAAAAATAAAAAAAATAAAGAATACAAACTGGCAGCTACAGTACGAAAGCTGCTCCTACATAACAATCTCACAGCTACTTTGCGACAGCTGTCACAATTAGAATTGTTCGAGTCCCCAACCTGACAGCTCTTATCTGAAAGCTATGGCAAAAATTTTCGCTGCTGATTTTCGACAGCAGTTCGAACCTCAAACCAGGAGGGCAAGACTGAACACCTGTATGCGGTGTCCTCTAAGAGCCTGGGAGTGAAATATTTTCACAGAGCCAAGTTCAGTCAATTTTCGCAATACCGAGCATGTTGGCCCACGAGGCAATAATTCAAATTACTCCACCATGTTAAATTTTCATTCCAAAAGAGATCGAATCCTACCGGAGTCTCATCAAGTCTACAAGTACGACCTAGTATATCCTCATTCCATTGACCATACCTCTTGTCGACTCTCTCTGGCCTCAGCTGGTCACCAGATACACGCCCACGCTGATATTTACGCACGACGGAGGAAGTAAAGCGTGGCGCACAAATCTGGGAGACAGTTCTTTGAGATGGACATGAGAGGGATTAGGACAAGTCCACAAGATGATGCAATGGAAGGATATGAACTCGACGGGCGTGAAATTCCGAATTATGGCAAGAGTTTTACGAATTGATCTTTGTGCGCGTCAAGACTTCGCTTGCGAGAGTGCAGCTGACACTATAAAAATAAGCAGACGATGGAAGGTGTGGTGGTACGCCTCCTGGTAGTGTTCTCCGGTATAGTCTGAGTAGCCTGGGCTCCTACTCCACTTGGGAAGGAGATATCTTAGATCACATTTCGCGTGGAGGAAAGATAATGGATGATGAAGGCATGTCTAGATAATTCAGGGTTTTTGAGACGTCCCCTGGGTGGGCATTCACGGATGAGAGTTGACTTGGGGTGAAGAAAAAGCCACCATAGCTTCGCAGTGGTACTTGCAAATGAAATCCGAGGCATGAGTGCTCTTCTTGTAAATTGAGTCATCTAGTATATACTTCTCTGATATTGAGTCATAGCTAGATAGCTGCATACGCAATAAAAATCTGCTGCAAATAAAAAAAAGAAGCAGAAATACAGGAAGACAAGGAATACGCCCAATTAGTCTATGGGTGTATTAGAATTTAGAATGATTAGGACTGTCAGGGTTGGATGGTGCAGTGGTACGCCATCCGGGCCGTTCTCCCAAGGAGTTACTGGGTAGCTTGAACATTCACCCCATTCGAGACAGGAGAAAACTGATTCGGATCCAGCCAGACCCAGGCTCCACTCTCTCTCGCGGTTATATTGTAATTGTGGGATGATGAAAGCACACACGGATAGTCACAGGTTTTTCACGCTTTTCCCTGTGGTGGGTATGCACGGAAGAGGTTATAAGCCGAAAGGGTTAACCTCGAGTGGTATCTTCAAATGAAATCTGAGTGTTATTGTTCTAAATGTCAATTTGATTCATCCTACTTAAAGTACATATCTTCCGATAAAAACCTGCATGGTCCTCAAGGCGCCAAAAACAGGAAAAATGAATTACAAGATTACATATATAATTGGGACTATCAATAGGCCACGTTGTCGATACACACGTGACTACAAATTCTATACTTAGTTTCACTTCGGTAGTTACTTGAATCAATGCGCTCTACAACCTTTATGACTGTGGGGTCATTTTGAATTTGAAATTGAAATCTTTCACGTGACAGGAAGAACCTAACATCTATTTAGACGTGACACGGGTAGATGGGCTCTGAAAGCCCATTGCTAAATACATGACCGGCAGTGGAGCCAAAAGCGACAAAAGAAAAGAAAAAATGAACAGAATATGTCTGAGTAACGGTGCCCTGCGCCGCATCCCTATCTTCCACACCCATCTCCTCTGGGGTCAGAAACAATCTCTGGGTGGTCACCTCCCACCATGTTCATTCTTCGACAGACTGTAACATCTGCTTGTAGTTGAGAATTGAATGAGCTTCTGCCATCCATTCTCCCCTATCATTTCCCTGGCCTCAGGTGGGGCCATTTTCTCATAGCTTCTAGTTGGAAATATCGCGCAATGAAATGGGCGCAGTATTCATGGAACGAAAGTAAAAGTGAAATAGAAGAGTTTCACATTTGGATTACGGCTAGAAATGTGGGAAGTGTGCGCTACAAGTACAAGTGTAAGCGACACGTAGCGTAAGCCACAGCATAAACGAGTGTGGCGCCATCTAGGCATAGAAAACCACCCAATAACCTCCTCGCGCCCACGCCATACAGCCGTTGATATCTCCAATACGTAGCCTGAAGTGCAACCGTACTATCCATTCCAACTTCTTAAATACACACAAGATCGTGTCGGGAACCTAGACGAAATGGATGGCCCGTACGTCCACAACACTCTGTGTCTCCATTTCCAACACTTCTCCAACGTAGCAAAGCTGGTCGGCACTCTGAAAAATGCCAGGGCCTTTTTTCTCGGCCGCAAAAGCATTTCAGATCTTCATGTTCGGGGTTGAAACGTCGATGGTAGTCGGCGTAGTCCCCGTGGCCTGTTCTTGCCGCAATAAGACGATGGTACGCCCATCTTGGTAAAGCTAGTTCCGGTGGTCTTTTGCACCGCATGAATAGGTCCAGATCTTTGTATCTTTTCGGTCGATACTTCTGCCACCAATCTTCCACGAGCTCTTGGCTGCGCTGTTTAACTCACCTCCCTAATGCCGCAAAGGTTAGATATTGATCTTCTCCACTGGGCGCAGCTGAGGTTAGTGACCGGTTATTGGGAGCTCCCAAGGCTGATTTGGCCAGCTTATCGGCCTCTTCATTGCCTTGAATCCCCACATGCCCGGGTATCCAGCGTATTTCCACACGCTTATTGCGTCTCAGCGACGAAAACTTGTCCACCACCGACTGCGAGATATTAGATCTCTCTCTTTCGAGCGCCTGGGTGGCCGCTTGGTTGTCCAGAAGAATATATTGGAATATTATCGAGTAATTGATGATACTAGAATGATATGAATAATGATACCGATAATATTCGATTGATTGCTTGCTTATTGTTATTGTGTGTGTTTGTGTTTATTGTGCTACTTGAGTCTATGACTATCTAGCACATTGGGCTCCTCTCTGACCCAGGCCACACCTTGTACAGTGCTCCTATCCTCTTTTGTTACTTGAAAGATCATTGATATATTCCCCTTGATGAATAGCCATTCAGCTCAGTATTTACCCGTGGAATTCAGCCACCTTTTCCACGGAACCTTCTACCCAAAAAAATAAAAATGGTATCGATGGAAACTGCGTGCGCGGGAAGAACTCTCAAAAAACCTGCAGGCCCAGCCAGGCGAGGCCTAGACACCGGGACCACAAGAGTTGCGCATATTCATCTATATCTCCCCTCTTTGTAACAGTTCAGGTCGACTTGATCCAATCCGCCATCTCCGTATCGGGTGCTGGGTACGCTCCGGAAACTCATCGGATGGCTTTTCCTCCGTGATAAGGTTTGTTGATGAGTAGAGCTCCGACCCTACCATCTGATCTGATCGTGGTTAGCTTCATGATAATGGTGATAGGGGAATGTGTTGAGAGATGAAGACGATACAGACCGCGAAAGCGATTGGGAATCTACGTCGAAGTGAGGACGGTTTTACTCAATCTCCGCTCAGCAGACTCTGTAGTGAGAGCTGGATGTTCGTAGGGGACACCACTGACAGATGAGAGAAAAGTCACCCTGCTATCTCATAGAGTAGGAAATGCTACAGAATCCTTGATAAAACTCCTCCCAGTCTACTGAATCATAGCTCTGCAGGCTCTGCGGTGTGTTTGAGGTTCGTACTTGACACTACTGACAGGTTATGGGTTTTCGTTTTCTGTACGACGAACTGAAAGAAGCAAATTTCACGATTAGATTAGGTCCCAAATTTTAATAAAAATAGTGTACATGTGGGCTTAAATCAAATAGTAGGATTTTCGATAGATTTGGTGTATTGAAATCAAAATCGTGGTAATTGAATGTTGATACCATTACGACCATATCCTGCTGTATCTCGCCCTCGCCTGTTGTTTGCGTGAATTTTCGTACTGTGCGCATTTACCTCTAGTATTAGGAAGTATCTTTCATTTCCGTACGAATGTCATTCTGGTGTTTCATCCAACATTGCTTGAATTTCTCGAGCTACATAATTCACATTAATCAAAAAAACAAAACCAGTTTGGGTGTATTTCCTGCTTGCACTGATGTGAAAGTGAAAATTTACCTCAGTTTTACACACTCTCCAGTCTCTTTTTTCATAGAAACACTCATTCATCTTGACATTTTCCTCTAAAAATCATTGTCTAACATGAAAGCGTGTGAATATAATCTAGCACTCACCAGCGCAGCCGGTGCTTATGATGCGTTTATCCCTGCCAAACAGTTTCAGTCATGTCCCACTTTGTGTGGGAATGGATTCGCACCAATCGTCCGGTTCATCATCTTCAACTACAGCTTGATCTCGGGTATCACGGTTTACTTTGGGTGGTGGTGTAAGCATCTTTACTGAGGAAGGAAAGTTAAAATTTTCTAGACCACAAGGTTGACTTCTCGGTTCTAAAGAAACAGGCGTTGTCGTCATGAGTCATCGCCGGATTAATGTGCTTGTATATTCAGGTACTTCATATCAATGTTAACAGCCACTTATACCTGACGCCACTAGGAAATGGAACAACTTTTGAATCCGTTCGCCAGTGCCTTTACAGCTTGCAGCGCCTCCTTCACCCAAATTATGCTGTCTTCTCCGTAACAGAACGTATGATTCTCCACGAACCATGGACAACATCATGTGCCCTTCTTGTCCTACCAGGAGGTGCTGATACAGCTTACTGCAGTTCTCTGAATGGAAATGGAAATAGGATAATTGATCAGTACGTGCGCCGGGGAGGTGCTTATCTTGGATGTTGCGCTGGTGGCTACTATGGGAGCTCACGCTGTGAATTTGAGATCGGAAACAAACTCATGGAAGTAATCGGTAACCGGGAACTCTCGTTCTTTCCTGGAACCTGTCGCGGATGTGCATTCAAAGGTTTTGTGTACAACAGTGAAGCAGGAGCTAAAGCAGTCGAATTGAAAGTACTCGGAGAATCATTCAACAAAACAACTAAGCGACAGAATTTCAGATGTTATTACAACGGTGGAGGTGTGTTTGTCGACGCGGGATTGAAAGAAGACAGCAACTTGAAGGTTCTTGCTAGCTATGTTGACCCTTTAAGTGTTGATGGGGGAGATGGCTCGGCCGCTGTGATCTATCATAGAGTTGGAGAAGGCAGGGTAATTTTGACTGGACCACATCTGGAGTAAGCTTTAAGCACAAAAACTGAAGTATCATTGTTAATTCCTGTCTAGATTCTCTCCTGTCAACTTGTCCCGCCAAAAGAACGGTCCAGCATATGAGAAGTTAGTGGATAGCTTATTGGAACATGATAACTTAAGAATTGCATTCTTGAGTGATTGTCTGGAGATGTTAGGCTTAAGAACAGGGGAACAAAAGAGTTCATTTCATTTACTCTCGCCCTTGCACATCTCTTCCTTACAGTGTGAACTTATTCCACATTTACTATTAACATGGAAACCGATTATTATGGAAAGGAACGGCCAGTCATATATTGAAGGAGATAATGACACTTTTCATATCGAAAAATATAACAACCAACAGTCCCAAAGTATCTACACTAATGAATTACCACTATCTGGCCTTCATATCCCGCAGGCAAAGTTAGAGTCCGGTCAGACAAACATGAATCAGCAAGCTCGAAATCATTGTAACTCAATGAAACAAATTATCCTTCACGAATGTAAATGGCCGAAGCTTCAAGAAACACCCCACTTCAATCATAATGAATACTACGCTAATCTTGAGATGTATCAAGCAGAAAAAGGAAAAGAAGTAGAAGATTTTGGAAAATATCTCATATATGCAGATGTGGTAGATAGTACTAATACAATGCTTGAGAAGTAGTGGGTCCTAGTTATCATTAATACCTTGCTAATTAGGTGCAGGAATATGAAGCTGGTCTCTCATACTCCTAGTGGGCTAACATTTATAGCCACAACACAATTAGAGGGTCGCGGACGTGGCTCAAATGTATGGATTTCACCGACAGGCTCACTGGCTATGTCTGTCTGTATTAGGCATCCCATGTCGCTCAGTAATCTAGCACCCATCATATTCATTCAGTATATCGCCAGCATGGCAATAATTGAGGGAATTCAATCATACGGAAATGGATGTGAGAAAATCCCCGTCAAACTTAAATGGCCGAACGATATTTGTAAGTCCTAGTAACCCATAAGTGCGGATTAATTGAAAGACTCTATTCTGATTGAAGTGTATCCTAATCTTTAGATGCTGCTGACTCTAGCCGCCTTGATTCTAACAAATACATTAAAATTGGTGGTGTTCTAGCTAAATCTTCTTACATGAACGGCGTATTTGACATTGTAGTCGGCATTGGACTTAACATAGAGCCGACAGCACCAACAACATCGCTTAATTCACTCTGTCCCTCTGATATGCCGCCATTTACTCTCGAACGCCTATTGCCTCGTATCTTGACCTGTTTTGAGTCACTCTACCGGCGATTTTGTCGAAATGGTTTCGATCACACGTTCGAGAAGCTTTACTACGGCTATTGGCTTCATACGAACCAAGTAGTAACACTAGCAGATGAAAACAGTACTCGGGCGCGAATAAAGGGTATCACACCAGATTTTGGCTTGCTCAAAGTTGAAGAGCTGGGCTGGGATGATCGCCCGACTGGAAAAATATTGACTTTACAGAGTGATTGCAATAGCTTCGATTTCTTCAAAGGGCTTCTCAAGACGAAGGCTTAGATTATTTATGCCCTACTCCGGTAGCATCTGCCATAGTTTATCAACAACAGCCATTCATTTATAGTGATATTTATGTAATCCTTTTATTAAGCCTAAAGCCCCTGTAGATAGTAGTCTAACGAAGCTATATTCTAAAGAGTTCGTGTTAGGATTTAACCGTAATTTGAGCTTAGGAGGATACTTATATGACGACTGAATGGGAAAGAGACAAAGTTGGATGAAATAGCACTACTAGTCATTGATATAATAAAACAGTTCTGCATCAGTATCGATGCAGGATCTCTGTCTGCGCACTACTACATGTAACTCATAATTCACTTGTAACTAGATTCCATGATTAATGTAGTCACGTCCGTTTCTTATCTTAGTCGCGGGGGTTTACTAAAACACAAGGCTAAAACAACATTTGGATAATATTGTCAAGTTGAGACATTGGCATGTACCTCATCAATCCCCAAATTTTTGTCATACCAAGTTTGATTCCTGCATATAGATATAGTATCTCCTACCTCCAGAGATCTTCAGCTCATTGTATTAACTGAATATCTATGAAGGCAGTATTCATAGCTCCTCTCGTCAACTCCACAGCTTTACATTTATAGCCCCGTTCACTTGATCCTGTGCTCGAATACTATTCTTCCTTCCTCTCCAACAGCCCGAAATCCCTCTCGAACTTTAACCTCACAACAGTCATAAGGCCGGGGTAATGTCATAGCATAGTGACTCCTAGCGATACTAGGCTTGGTGGCAAGTATTAGGCCTAGAGGAAAGTCATCAGTCAACAGATTCACCGAACAGTTTAAATATTAAAAATAACTTTTGGAAGAAACTAGAGATCAAATTTTTACTAATTGTACGAATATTGACGTAATTTTATCATTAAAATTTTTATTGTTGAGAAATAAGTCTAATGCATTGCAATTCCAGGATCCTCATGACCCTTATTATGGGTCTGAGTTGTCATCATTAGCCAGGAGTTAGAAGAACCGGAGAGCAAGATACCCTGTACAATTAGCTTGTTTATCACGTGGTTATTGGTTTGTTTTGTTAGCGTGCACGGACCCGCACTCAAGATGTAAATCTCGAGTGTTGGATCCTTTTTCATGGAAAACTATTTTATATACCTCCAACGAGTTGACTTCACAGACAAGTCTATCTTCCATATTTTATATAAGAACTCCTTAAAGTGATCATTACACAATATAAGGACTAAGGTTTTAACAGGTTATGACCACCGGTGCCCAGACTTTTCTCAAGTAGCTCTAACGAACGAGGGTGCTAAAGAAATCAACAACGATTGGAGTAGCGCAAACGAACGAGAACGCGAAAGACGCGAAAGACACGAACGTTTACAAACGAAAGAGCGCCAACGGACGAGAGCGCTAAAGATTACGAAAGAAAGTAATTCTATTAAACGAAGAAAAAGAGGAGGAAATAAATTACCACTGACAATGGGATCAGACTACGAGAAACGTGAGGCACTCATACTCTCTCGTCAAAATCATGATAAATGGTTCCGCAAGGTAGAATTTAAGTCAAAGTCAAAAGGTTACTTCTACGTGACCCACACGACTAAAGCAAACTTTGCTTGGATAAAGCGAGAGGGAGGCTCTTCCATTCAGCCCAAAGATGAAGCCGAATGTTCTAGTACCATGTCATCAAAAAGAAAAGAAAATGAAAAAAGAGATCCATTGGAGTAAATGACGTCAAAATTTGAGAGATTAGGGGGATCTTGGAACAATGATAAATTAAAGATATTCGAACAAGACACCGCAAAGTTCTCTTCTTATATCTCAGATCTCCTCAGCGACGACGATCAATCTGTTTTTGACGAGTTTGACAGCGCGATTGATGTCTGGAATTTTTTAAAGGACAAATACAACAAGAACAGTGAATCTACCGCCTCAAATTTTATGTCTAAGATCCAAAGCTTCCCCAACCAGTTTGAAGTGGAAGAGAAAGGTATTCACAACGCTTGGGAAACTTTAAAAGGTTACAGAAGGAAACTTATCGCCGCAGATGAGTCCTTCAGGTTCGCCTACTCAGTCAAAATACTCTTTCTTATTCTAGGGAAGACCCTGCCATCTAAATACTCCTCAATTCTTGATAGTTTTCGCGGTAATAAATGGACTGTCGAAGAAAAATTAAATATTCTCATAGAAAAGGAGGAAGACAGCAGAGACCATGAGATTGCACACCCGGCTTTTGATAGAAGGCATCACCAGCGGTAGCGCCGAAACTCTGACATCACCATGGAAAATACCCCAGATGCTTTCGTTGAAATGCGTTGCTACAAGTGTCACGGGTCCAACCATATATCGCGCAATTGCCCTTATGCAAAAGCGGCCTTGGAATACGCCATCACACTTCGAGAGAAGGATGAAAAGAGGGCCGATAAAAAGGGGACAACAAAGCTAAGGTCAAAAAAGGCATCCAATCCAGAAAAAAAGAAGACTACCCACAAGAGAACCAGATCGACACCCAAGGGAAGGCATGGCTACGCCGCTTATGAAGAAACTTCGGATTCAACTTCTCACGATTCCACAAGCGAGGACTCGCCCGAAGAAGAATCTGAATCCGACTCAGACTTCCATAAGCCACAGAAAGTGATGCTTACAAAAGAACTTATTAGTAAGAGCACCCCAGCTGCTTGGGTACTTGACACAGGCGCTACGTCTCCAATGACTGATCAAATCCATTTGTTTAGGGGAAAACTGAAAAATATACTTCCTACCACTATACAAGTCGGGGGAGGTACATTAACATCGAGTAATCGGGGAACTGTAGTAGTCAAATGTGCCGATGGTTCATGGGGGATAGCAAAAAATGTCTTCTATGTACCTAATCTTGGCGTAAATCTTCTCTCAGCAAAACGGCTCTGTAGAACTGGAATGGAAGGCCACTTTGACGAAAAGAATGTTTGGATCAAGGATGAAAATAAAACAATGATTCATGCAGTTCAAACTGACGGTCTCTACATTGTGAAACATATCGCAACTGAACTCAGAGGAAAGTCCTTGGACACAAGGGTAATAAAACAAGTAGCATGCCCCGCGACCCATAGAGCGCCTGACAATAACCTCCCAGCCACACACCGTAAAACCAGCTTGAATTATTACCGTGATACCTCTATAAAATGCAGAGATAACCCTGATTTCTCAGACAAAGACCCTGACCAATCTGATGATGACCCAGCCGAGACGAAAGAAGAAAGAGCACGTTAGCGATTAATGCATCGTCGATTTGGTCATTACGGCCCAAATATTATTAGTAAACTTCACAAAACTTCGAAAATTGATCGAGTTCAAATACCTATACCCGAAAAGAGAATTTGTAAGTCTTGTAAGATTGGAAAAATGAGAAATAAAATTAGCAACACTCTTGCTCAGCACAAGACAGAACCATTGGAACTCATTTCTTTTGATGTAGCTGGCCCATTCCCTAAGTCTCTTCGCGGAAATAGATACTTCCTGCAGGTCATTGACAACTGGACTCGTAGAACTTGGTCTATCCCTATGAAGACAAAAGACCAAGCTATATCTGAATTAAGAAAATTAAGGGTTAGAGAAGAACGACAGACGGGAAGGAAACTGAAATCGACCAGATCCGATAACGCAGCAGAACTCAAACACGTAATGTTGCAATGGGAACGAGAAGATGGAGTTGTTGCAAACTTTACAGTCATCGCATCAAAATGGCCCCGCTGAACGTAGTATTCAAACTGCTGAGATGACCATCAGGACAATGATTGATGATGCAGAATTACCTATAGAATTTTGGGACGAAGCAGTTGAATACGACTCATACATCCGAAACAGACTTCCCCTTGGACCTATTATTGATGGAAGCCCTTAATCTCCACTTGAAGCCTATACGGGAGTAAGGCCAAACATCGAGCACATACGACCTTGGGGCTACAAAGCTTATGGGTACGTCAATCCAAAAACACTAGAAGCTAAAGGAAGACACGACAAATTGGTTGTACGGGGAAGAGAGGGTGTCTTCATTGGTTTTTCCGAGAACACCGAAAAACACACAAAAATCTACGCCCCAGACCTAGGTCGAGTAGAGCGAGTAAATGCTGTATTAATAGACGAAAAAGTAAAGGGAGGAATGATCAACTTGAGGCTAAGAGAGAGCATCGTCACATCTCAAGGAACCACTAACCAATTACCTCTGAGAAATAATAGAGGTCGCCCCAGCAAAGATAACGATAAATCGGGGGCTAAAATATTCGAAGATGTGATGATCGATGTGCCACCTTCTCCAGTATTAACTCCACTACCAGCTCCGTCACCAGCTACGATTCCATCTCCAATACCGTCTCCAATACCGGACCCGGCAACGGAAGCAGCCCCAGTATCCAATCCAAAGCCAGCACTTACTACGGCATCTCCTTCACCTTCTCCTACGACACATACTTCAGAACCTACCGGAACGTCCAATAAAACGCCCAATAAAGAAAAATGGAAACGAAAGAAATCCCAGAAGAGAAAAGAAAATAAATTGTCAGTACCACCATCAGGGACTATAGTTGAAGAAGATAATCATGGTGACACTGGTCCAATCTTAAGCGAGACCAACGACGCCATCCAAGGCGATAAAGACGACCAGATCAAAATTGATTCGAATAGGAACAGTACCATCGAAGCAAGCCAAGATTCAGAACCATCCCAGACCCCAGAGCGAAATTTCGAATCAATGAATTTACCATCAGTCCCTGAGCCTAGATATTTCTTTCGGAAAAGGCGTAAAAGTAATACAGATTATTACGACGAGGACAAACAAATTAAAAGAATACGAAGAGCGTTACTAGCAAAAATGTTCTCTGATGTGGAAGAACATGAAAATATTGAAAGAGCAACCGAAAGTTCATTCTCAGCGAGACATACCTTTTCAGTTACTCCTAACGACCGCAAGCTTAAAGCTTCCATCATACAGGCTTTCTACGCGATTTTCACCAATCAATCAGATGTGAATAAGGAATATGCACTCCCCAC